ATGGTACCTATGTGGGGAATCGAACCCGGGCCTTCGGCGTGACGAGCGAACGCTTTAACCACTAGCCTACCCCACCGCCCCAGAACTGGTAGTGAATACCCTGATGTATTACAAGGTGCACGTCACCATTTGACATGTCCACGTGGCATATAAATGTAATCATGAAATTATTGTAAAAGTCCGATATTATTCTATTCATATAACAGACCAATGGGCGATAATCTCTCCTGATGAATAAGCGTTCGCTCGTCTGGACGAAGACCCAGGTTTAGACAAATGCTTAGTCCCTGAATATACATGTATTAATTTTGATATCAATAAATTTAACTCATTTAAATTGAAAAGAAGCCCCAGTCAGTTGGGAGATTCAGAACATGGGTGAGGTGAGGTGAGGTGAAATTGGGTTTAACGTCGTGCTTGAGAATATTTCGCTCATATGACGACGTGCATGCGTGTGTATGTGTATGTGCGGCTGCTTGTACTAGCACAGACTGAAGCTGGTTTTATAGTGCTAGCCCACTGAGATACCATGCCGCAGTGAAGCATGAATACCCCACTCAGACACATTATACTGACTCCGAGCCGACCAGTCCTTGTGTGTACCCATTAATGCCGAGCGCCAGGCAGGGACCAACATATTTTAACGTCTTGTGGTATGATGCGGTCGGGGATCGAACCCGCGACCTTCCGCTCTCCTTGCGGACGCTCTAACCACTACACCACGGAGGCGGTCCTCAGAACATGGGTAAATCTACACTTGTTTCTTTTACGGCTTTAGCATTGCAGGGAGGGCTAGGCAACTAGGAAAAATAATGTGGTTCAGGGACTGCGAGACAGGCTAACCCAGGTTCTGAACGTTTCTGGTGCATTGGTGGGAAACTGTTAGAGCATTGCTACGACATTGCTGGACTGTGACTTCGCTGTGAAAATTCCTGGAACATTACTAGTACATTTTCCAAACCCAGAACTCAATCATTTGTTGACAAAAGAGAGCCTTGTCTAACCAACACTAAGTGTTCCGAATATACACTTTCGAACCTTTTCACGATCTGAAACACAGGTTTGGTGGCAGATATTGTCAGCTCTGGGATCAATCATGTACAGCTAAAACAACACTGCATTCATAAGCAAATACCCAGGAGGAATTGCGTGAAGATTGAAGAGCCTTTTATCGGTGGTGCGGCAACGTCACCACAGGCGGTGTCAAACATGGACTATAAATGTACATACGTATGCTAGTCTGCCATTAACTCCACTGAAAAACAGATAATGTAATGACCCATTCATGACAATACCTATTTGAACTGGGAGTAGTGTCCGAGAGTCTTTCAACTGACCATGTCAAGGCGTCATGCTGAGCGAGCGAGTGTGGTTTAACGCCGCTCTGAGCAATATTCCAGTTAAGCGTGAGAGAAAAGCCGGAAGTGATGCAGGTCTGAGACGCTTACCATTTTATTGAGACGCACGAACACAGGAACGGTGCTGGAAATATTAGAAATATCAGAAACAACATGTGCATCTTGGAAATAGATTGTGTTCATCTTCTGAAATGCCATGTGCACTCCTTTGTGTGATCAGCATCAGCCTTGGATTATACATACATACATACACACACACACACACACACACACACACACACACATACATACATACATACATACATACATACATACATATAACATTTGTATAGCGCCGATATCCAGCTCAGCTCAGCTGCTCAAAGGCGCTTAGTTTTCCCCTCGTTCACTGGATGTCAATCTCAACGGCACATCGTATTGTCAATCTCAACTCCCTGGGGAGCATACAATTATGGATTATGTGAGACATTTCCTATACGTGCACGTATATTTATCATCTGGCTAGTTTGTCAAGAGGGGGTGGTGGGAAAGCCTAGTGGTTAAAGCGTTCGCTCGTCACGGGTTCGATTTCCCACATGGGTACAATGTTTGAAGCCCATTTATGGTGTCCCCCGCCGTGATATTGCTGGAATATTGCTAAATGCGGCGTAAAACGTCACTAAAGTCAGTCAGTCACTAGTTTGTCCAGATAGCGACAAAGGCGGCATGGGAAGCTGTTTGGAATCTATAGCTGTAGAGTGACCCCACACTTGTTCAAGGGGGCGGTTGGTTAACGTAGTAGTTAAGGCGTTCGCTCCTCACAAGGGTGTGAAGCTTATTACAAGCATCGATTCAACGAATACAGTGACCTGCATCAACCAGGTTAGACTAAGGCTTAGTCTCTGAATATATATAATTTTGATAGTAACAAACAAGCCCATTTATATTGAAAAGGAGCCCTAGGGAGACCAGAGATTCCTGAACCTGAGGAAGTCTAGACTTGCTTTATTTAGGGCTTTAGCACTGCAGAGAGGGCTTGGCAGTGGGGAAATTAATGTGGTTCAGGGACTGTGAGACAGACTACAACCAGGTCAGCGAGTCTGCCTACCTGAACGCGTTTGACGCCTCTTGCGAACTAGAATGAATTGCTGAGGACCAGGGCCTAGATTTTCGAAGCTCTCTTAGCGCTAAGATAGTCGTAATTATAAGTTAATGTTAATGTATGACACTTACGACTATCTTAGCGCTAAGAGAGCTTCGAAAATCTAGGCCCAGTTCTATCCCGCATCTTCACGGGACAGAAGCAGAGTTTGCTAGTGACTTGTGTGTTACAGCGACAATCTCTCTACACATCTGGTCCCCGTTCCACAAAGCGAAGTAAGCGTTACGACTGTTGTAAACTTTTATTATATTTAATTAACTAGGCTGGAATAAAAATAAAATAAAAACAAACAAAACAAACAAACTTTATTAAACAGTATGGGACGTTATGATTGCTGTAAGTATTTTGTACTTTGTAAATTGGAAAACACCACCCTTTCCTTCCTTCTTTCTTTGAATACACCCTGAATACTCCCATGTATTACTCGACCGCCTCCGTGGTTAGAGCGTCCGCCCGGAGAGCGGAAGGTCACGGGTTCGATCCCCGATCGCGTCATACCAAAAGACGTTAAAATATGGTACTTGTTGGTCCCTGCCTGGCGCTCGGCATTAACGGGTACAACAAGGACTGGTCGGCTCGGAGTCAGTATAATGTGTCTAAGTGGGGTATCCATGCTTCACTGCGGCATGGTATTTCAGTGGGCTAGCACTATAAAACCAGCTTAAGTCTGGGCTAGTACAAGCAGCCGCACATACACACACACACGCATGCACGTCGTCATATGAGCGAAATATTCTCAAGCACGACGTTAAATCCGATTTCACCTCACCTCACCTCACCCATGTATTACTCAGAAGTGTGACGTTCGACACTGACCTATATAAGAACACTGCATGCCTCCACCTATGAGTTGGGGAACATACGTAGTGCTAAATAATTGGTCCAGGTGTGGAACGTCGTGTCTTGCAGTGTTGTTTTGTACTACCTCGCTGTGTACCTTGGCGGTGCCAGGATCCGCTCACTCACCCACATGGATGTGCCTTGTTTGGTCTGACAGCGCCCTACTCGTGGGTTAACTTTACTAATTTGCAAACCAACCACAAACGTCCATTCCGGGTCATGTAAATAAAATGCGCAAGCAGAGTGTTCTAACATATTCATCAAAGTTACCAGCGATGGTTTCCCGGATTATATTGTAATAATCCTGCGATATCAAAACGGGGTATGCCAGAAATGGGCTTCACATTTTGTAACCCGTGTGTGGAATCGAACCCTGGTCTTCGGCGTGACGAGCGGACCCTTTAACCACTAGCCTACCCCACCGCCCCAGAACTGGTAGTGAATACCCTGATGTATTCCTTCAAGAGTAAATGAAAAAACTTGTATATAACCAGCGCTTAGCAAACCATAAATTTATGAATAACTATTGAAAATCAAAATGAAATTGTAGTATGGTAAGGTAGATATGGTTTCGTGTTCAAAAAAGGGGAGGTTACCCCCACCCACCCCCAAAAAGGGGAGGGTACCCCCACCCCGTTCCTACGACCCTGAAACGTGTGAATCGCATTGCAGTCTGCATACGTTGGGCCAGAGACTGGTTAGGCGTACAGAGTAGACGTCCCTTAGGTAATTATATGTACGCCATCACATCTTGTAAACTAACTTAATTAAATAATTGGCTGTTCGAATTATTTACTTTCACTCCCAGTCAGAGTGACGTTACCTTGACAACCATAACAGCGATTTCCAGGATAGTGACGAGTTTATTGACTATTTAATATGCAAACGCTAGCCTTTTATTTTCAAAGGGGTTCGATTCCCCACATGGGCACAATTCATGGTTAATTTCTGGTGTCCCCGCCGTGACTCTAAAAGAAAACTAAACTCAGAGTCAGTCAGGTACTTCATGGTTAATGCACTCTGAGAATATCAGAAAAGAACGTCTGTCAACTCTGAACTGTTACCCTTTCGCCGATTCGAATATTTTTTATCAACCATGCAGGTCTGTCAAGAATTACATGCTGGAAGTAAGGGAAGCAAGGCCACATGCTATCCTGTAGAAATCACACCCACGTTTTGTTTTTAAAATAGCGGGAGTCAAAATTATATAACTGTTTTCAAAACGTTGAAAATGGTTGAATTTTGAAACATGAAAGGTTAATAATTACTAACTGTATTGATTGTGGTTGAAAAATATGGTAAAAATGTTTTGGAAAATATAAATACATTGCCTCCGATTTGCTACAAAGCCGAAAATATTTCAGTGAGTACCACAGACATTTCCTATGCAGTGACGTCAGGCGTGGGAAACCGGAAGTAAAAGCAAATACTATTTGTTATACAACAACTCGTATAGAAATAACATTGATGATACTTTCTAAAACAAAACTCAAACACAACTTCCATCAAATAATACACCGTATTCAATGCTTTTGTCAAATATTTCTATATTTATTCTGTACAATATTTCATAAGGATACTACTTCTAAATATCAATTTGATATTATCTTAGAAAAATAGTTGTAGCACTACTACTATATTCTAATGACGTTGAAGCAGATGACAGGTTGAAGAAGCGATAATGTTGTGATGTTTTTATCTTGCACACGTTTGAGGAGTAAACCGATTGACTAATCAGATCTTGGTGACGGCTTGTACATGAACAGGACTCCCTATCGACAAAACAACTAAAGGTAGGCAATGCGCCATTAGTGAGCGTTATGTGCGATGCTACGGGTGTGCCAGTGGATTGTTTTGATTTTCTGCCTGTTCAACTGCAAAGTCCAACAAGCTATTTTATCTATATTCATTGCAGAGTATAGGATATCAAGATGACCTTGTTTTTACCTTCGTTCGAGTCTCAAAGTAAACCGCTGAGATATATAGCTATTGATTTTGAACTCGCGTGTATTATCAACACAGGGGCCTCAATGAGATCGAAATCTTGTCGGATACTCAGTGGTCGTCTGCACTGGGAATTAGTGTTGGCTTTACACACATGTACACTTTTCAGAAACACACCCCAGGGCCACACGAACCACGGTATTAATTTTCAAACCAACTGTAGGAATGATGACAACAATACAAGCATATTTAACGCAGAAAACAACTTACAAAATGTGAAATGTCAATAAGTTCACCCAACTGGAACCACAGAAATACCAGAAGAAGATGCTTAATTTGTACCATTTTCCTGATACGTTTTGATAACATATGTCACTTTTATGTGTGTTTTTTTACGTTTTGTTTGTATTTTGTTTAATTGACAATATCCCAGATTAGACATACAGGGTCCAAGCCACGAGAGGCATGCAAACGTCTTTACATAGCATGAGCAAAGTTATTCAATGAATTTCGGAAGCTATTGTGATGCATTTTAATATTAACAGTGAGAATGATAATGGAGGCGGTATGGCTATTACACAGACTCAGATTTTTGTTTATTTGCAAATTGGACATTAATGACGTTTATGTTCATTCATGCTCATATCCACTCTGTACTTTCTGTACTGTACCATATAGAGTTACATTTATTGTTAGACTCATGAAACTGATAATTCCATTTTTATCAATGAGGATTCTGTCCTCATGTTATAATAGATTTGTGTTGTATATTCAAAGAAGCCAAACAATCTAAGAACAATATCAAAACTGTTCACTTCATTGCGATAAGGATGAGGGTAGGTCATTGACTAGCTGCTCAGTATAGCGTCACTCTTTGAAGGCATTGTGCTGTCACTGACTGTCTGTCTAAATATAGTGTGGTGGTATCAACACATTCAGAAGGTGTCATTGACTGGCTGTCATATCCTGTAGGAAGAGGGATGTGTTTCATACCCGGTAAGATGTACAGGTGTTCCGATTAATTCAAATAATCGAAGATTGGTCGCAGTGACCAATCGCCCAAGCAATCGATCACATTTTCTCATAATCAAACACAAAAGATTTTGGAACTACTGTTTTAGTCTTTGAAACACTTGACGGTGGAACACATCTTAGAGTTAGAAATTGTCAGGGCCTGAAAACGTGTTCAATTCTTAAAAAACTCACTTCACTAACTGAAAAGTCATCACTGAATATTTCTCTAAGACTCCAGGAAGTTTATGTTCATGATATATTAGTCATCACTTTAAAGTAGCAAGTTGCATCATGTTAAACATATCTGTAATAACAACCTGGATAGGAAAATCTGAAAAATGACGCTTACCAATTTTTTTCGATGATTGTTCATTGGTAATGAAGCAACCATCAATTGTGAGATTTCAACCAATTCCCAACACTAGTGAGATGTTACATCATACAAGGAAGGAAGTGTCTGAAGCTCTCTGACTTAGTGTATAATCGTACAATAACTGTCTGTCGCAGTGTAACATCACACCCTCATGACTAAGGTCAGTGTTTGTCATTGACTGGAATTTTAGTGTTACCCAAAACACAAACACCTTTTGATTATGATAGACTCAGGGCTCTTGTGACTGCCAGGATGTTTCTATAATATTTTATTTAGAATCTATCTTCATGTTGCTTCAGGAGATTAATGAACAAGGTTAAATTAAGAGTTTCAAGACTAGTGAAGTCTGGTAGTACAAGACCAGGAGACTTCATAAAGGAGATGTTAGAATTTCCTTGTGGCCTACAGCTTTAGTTACTTCTACTTTACAGGGGGCGGTGAGGTAGCCTAGTGGGTAAAGCGTTTGCTCGTCACACTGAAGACCCGGGTTCGATTCCCCACATGGGTACAATGTGTGAAGCCCATTTCTGGTGTCCCCTGCCGTGTTGTTGCTGGAATATTGCTAAAAGCGGCGTAAAACCAAACTATCTCTCTCTCTACTATACAGATTAAGTTTCTTCCAACATTTGTCATTAAATTAAAGTTAAGTGTTTCTGTTTCATGCATGCCAATGATCTTTTTTGTATAAAGATATGAGAATTATAGGGATGGAAATTTATACAATTTTAAAAAGGCCTATATCTGCATAAAAATTCCAGGGGTAGACCCCATTGTTGAAATCCATGTTTCCTCAGCTCATTACAATAACTGGTTTAAGTAAAATAACTCACTTTTGGGAGAAAGAAGTGGACTCTAGATTTGAAACAAATTGAAAGAACAGCAGTTGTTTATCTAAGTGAATACATGATTGTGAATAGCTGAACTTCTTGCATGGTGTACGTAATTCGATAGTCTCAAAAGAAAAAATACGTTCTTTGACCATATGTTCTTTATATAAGTGATACATATTTGCCATACTTTTAAACCCTACAGGGAAAGCATGTAGTCATTCTCAGCACCTGCTGATAACAATAACATATAGTCAATGTATTAAAAATCAGAACTTTTCCTGTGTTTCTAGGATACTTTTACACTTGGCTGTAAATGTCTAACATTTTCCCAGCCTATCTCTTTCTACATATTGCCAAATCAATACCAGACACTATTCTATCAGTGTTCATACCGTAACTGAAGAAACATTTACTGTAATAACCTGTTACCTAACACCAAAGAAGACTGTTACCCAACATTTTTGCTTCCAGTAGGAATAAGCTATACTGAACCCAAAAAGTTAGGTATCATGGGTCGCGTACCGATCTGTCGAATGCATTTTATGGTAATGAATACAAATAATATCCATGAATACTTTATGGTAAATAGCCCGGAATTAAAATAGCAAACATGTCATGTAATTGCTTAAGTTGAAACATTTATAGTATATTTTCTATAAAACAGAAAAGCAGTACATGGCAAACAAAGCTTATAGTCTACTAACACTAGTGACATGCTGTAAGGGACCCAATTCAAAATAACACAGGGCGGTGTGGTAGCCCAATGGTTTAAGTGTCCACTCCTCACGCTGAAGACCCGGGTTCGATTCCCCACATGGGTACAATGTGTGAAGCCCATTTCTGGTGTCCCTTCCTTGATATTGCTGGAATATTGCTAAAAGCGACGTAACTAAAACCATACTCACTCAAGCTAACAAGTTTTTCTACTGCATGGCTTGGATATCCCTCATTCCCTTTGTTCACAATTAACTGTTAATTTAAAGGCCTGGGGTTGTCCAAAAATAATTCTCAAAATGTATGTTTACATGATGTACTGGTACTTCTTTTTGCTGGACAAGCGGTTGGTCACATGAGTATACACGCATTTGTAACTTCACACGTTATTCAGCAGATTTATTATTAAATGACATACACAGACTACTTCCTCGTTTCTGGGGAAATCCCTGGGAATTCCCAAGCTCGATTATGTAGAAAAACATAGTTTCTGATCGTTTAGGCCCTAAATCTCAAACTTGTGTTTCAGTATTCACTGAGATAAGCCAGACAGTTTGACTTCATGCCCATTTAAGTAAGAACATCATGACAAAGACCCATCCCTGAGAAAAAAAGAAGGAAGTTCACACCCAAACTACTGACTCAGTACATGTCAAGGCTGACAAGTGAGAGTCTTCAGCAATCTATAAATTTACCTTAGTATCTATTTGATACATCTTTTCATCAACTGTCAACAGCTGGTGTATTGATCAATGAGGACTTACACTGGTGATCAACACAGGTTAGTGAACAGCTTCGAAATTCTCTCTCTTATCTCCAATTTCATTTCTCTGTACAGTTGGTTATTGTATGGCTGTCAGTGTGATCAGTCATGCTTGCCAAATCAAACTGTGTAATACATCCCTAGAGGTATGAAATAGTAATATGAAAAATTATAAGAGTTCCCTTTCAGGTTGAGTTCATTGGAGCATGAACCTTTAGAGAGTGAGAGCCAAACAATTTAAATTATGCATGTGTTGCAAGTTCTGACGGTTATACATTTTGGCCCTCACATATGAAGGTTTATGTATCCAAAAAACTCACACAAAGTGAAATTGTTTGGTGGCTTTGAAAGACAGGGGAATAAATTTACGTTGGTTAATAATACCTGAAGTTTTGTAACCATAATTTTAGTTAAAACTGTTAATCATCTCCTGCTTCTGAATTGTTTAAATTCTTTTCTTTGCTTTGTCCAGAATAAGTGTCGTCCAAATGTCTGCCATATTCATCCCCAATATTTTAAACTCCTCTAAGTGCCGGTCATGGTGGAGTCCTGACAAGTTAATATTTTTTCCAGACATGGAATTGATTGGAATAGCTTTTGCATGGATCAAAACAGTACCTAATTTCGTGCCATGGCATGGTAAATATTGAAATGACATGGATGAAATGTTTTCATTGAGCCCTAATGGCATGATTAAAACTATGAAAATAATACACACCTTCATTTAATGGAAAATGAGATAAATTTGACCAACAGAAATGATTCAAAACCTATTCTTGCACCCCCTGAACCTGTTTATTGATGCTTCTCTCATTCTCATGGGCGTGGCCATTTTGAATGCCATAACAGGATCATATTCTTAATGTATTCTCATTCGTTGCACATCTTGTTCTTAAGTTGGATGATTCCACACCAATTCCTGGGAAAATGCCCTATTACGACTCACGCGTAAAATGTCCTGAAATCAAAGAAAACAGCATGACTTTTTCTCCTAGCATGACTCTTTTGGATACTATATTCTGATTGGTTGATTTCTGACCACAATCGATCTTAAACCTAAATCAAAGGACTGCAAATTACATGGACCACTGCATCTGCGTATGAATACATAGCACTCGATGACCTTATTGTTTGTAAATAAATGTCAAAATCGAA